CTTCTCTTGCCATTTCCCACTTTCTGCTTTATATCAAATCAAAATTTTGTTCAAAGTTTGATAGGTAAGCCAACAATAGTCATACCTTTTCCTCCCTAACAGATTCATATCTCTCTCTACTTTCTCTCCCCCTAGAAGATAAGCAGGAAGTGATTATGGAAAGATGTCCTTGTTTTATAAAAACTCTAAGAACTACTTATTGACTACTCATTGATGTTTTAGTATCTTATGGTGCACATACATTTATACTCAAACAAGAATTAGAAACAAACTATTAGTTTTCTTTAGAAATGCACTTTCTACCTCATCCAAAAGCTAAACTGAGGCAGCATCACCAAAAATTGTCAGAAGAGAAGATGAACTGAGAGTGGGTTGAAATGGGAACGAAACTCATAGTACTTCCTGACAGGGCAAGGCACAGAGAGCTTGTGCAGCCCCCCTGCTACAAACAGAGAATCAACACTCATATTTGAGATTGTTGAGATTACACAGACATTGCTGACATCATCAACCTGGGAAAGAATAGCAATCAGAAAATCCTAAATGATTTTCCAGGAAGAAAAAAAATTAACTAATTGAATGAAAGCTTTACCCCTAAAAAATCTTTTAATCATTACTTGAGTATTTCAAATACTTCTCAGTATTTACTAGAAAATTTACTTTCACAAAAGTGGATGAGTGTCATGCTGACTTTTGCATTATGTCCTTTGGGTAAATTAAGAAGAATCCTAATCCCATTTGCTTTTTTTAAAAAATAAGTAGGTTTAAATAAAAAAAAGCTTAAGGGAAGAGGCCCATGACCAAAATCCAATACAGCATACTAGGACCTCAGCCCTGAAGTGTCTGCCTCGAATTAATACAGGTCCCCAAAGAATATTAGGAATTTACTGAAACTTTTAATTGTAGCAATCTCTAGAAACATGTGCTTTCACTCAGAGCTCATGTAAGTGGCCAAGTACTGAGAAAACATGGCTCCATCCACCCAGTTACCCACCAGCTCCACTCACCCAGCAGCCTGTCACAGGAGCAGGACAAGATTTAACACCTTCACAGGAGACCTTCTTTAGTCTAATGTACCCAGTGTTCTTGCACTTCAGAGTTTTAAGGGACTTTTGGATACTCTGGGAAGGTAAAATTCCTGTGCAGCAGCGTTTGCAGCTGGTTTCTGCTATACCCTGCTGGGTAGTAAATTCTACCCTATCACATTGGATAAAGATGTGGCCCCGAAACTTACGGCTTCTTAACTTTCTGAGGAGACTTCAACAATGAAATATTCCTGGGCATGAATCCTCAGGAAATTTCAAGTATAAAAATAACACAGCATGTGCTCTCCAAGGCACAGAGCACTGCTGGCCCAAGTCCTCCGTGCTAGCTCTCCACAGCATGCAAATGTCAAACTCCCAGTCCTTGGCTGCGGAGTGTTTCAGAGATAAAATAACTTTATGCTTCTGAATATGGTTCTAAAAACCTACTTAGGTAAAGGACCATTTCTATAACCAATTAAGACATTCCTGAAATCACCTTCCTAAGCATCATCACTTGTTAAAGCCGGGGATCGAGTTGATGCCAGATCAACAAGCAATTCTACCAACTGTATTTTCCATGAACCAAGCCTGAGCTATTATTTACCAAGTCTTAGTTAAACCAAAATTAATTGCCATGATTAGTTCTTGAAAAAAACTGAAGAGCTGCTCTGAAGTTTCATTGTGCTCCAGAGCAGAACAGTACCCCTGCCAAACCGGAACAGAAATGAAAATACTTACAGTTACTTACACCAAAATAAAGGAAATAAACTTTACAAACCCAGTTTCCTCTCTTGAGATAGAGCAAAAGAAAAGATTGCAAACTATTAATTGTGCTGCTTAGCGTGTCACAAAGTTGCTCATATTTTAATAAGCCTGCTATAATAATCTGTGAAGATTATAACTCAAAAGAATGTGTCTACTTTATTTGCACAAAAGGAACTTGTTAAATATTTGTCAAAATTAACTGTAGCTTGCCAACAAAAACGTTGCCAATTTTGCTATCACCAAAACAGACATCCTCTCAGCTCTTTAAATTCACATGGCAGCTTGATTTAGTTACTAGACCACTAGCATATGGCGAGATGTTGGCCAGCATCTACAGATTCCATGAAAGACTATTAACAATGTAATTTAAGAATTCTTACCATCAAGTCACTGAAATGAAGGGGAACATAAATTTGTTTCAGTAAGTCTCAAGAATTACTACATATTTTTGAAACAGGGACACTAACTTCTAAATTTAAAAACACAGTATTAGTTAAAATTTGCTGATTTATTATTATAAGTTAAGCACTACCCCATATCACACATCCTGCTGAGAGTCTCAAACCGAAGAGTGATCTCGGAAAACACTCCAATCAAGAAAATCTGTTTCTGACAAAGGATATGATCCAATATTACATCATTCTTTCTTATGTCTAGTCACTACATTTTTCCAAGATAAACATTAAACATTTGGGATAATGGGAAGGAAGCAAAAATTTGGCACCAGCTGCACCAGGCGCTGACCTGTCTTATACGAGTTTACTGACAACTGCTCCAAGAACTCCATCAGCAGAGCTCTGACAGCTCACACCACAAGCCAAACCACCCACATAGTCCTTTTTCTGGCACCAGCAGCAAGGCTTAGGTCACCGGTGCTCGCCTGAGTGATTGTAGCCCAGGGACCAGCAGAAAGCAAACGCAGCCTTTTGCATGGAATCCACAAGGCGTGAGGACGAAGGGTCAAGCTTCTGTCCCACTCGGCAAACTCCAATCTGTTCCATCTCCCGCTCTCACCACACACTAAAAATACCCAGACATGTGGTGCATGAGTTTCGTTTTCATACTAGTTTTAGTCTTTATCTTCTGTGAGAAACAGATACAGCTGGTGGTAAAGCTTGCACGCAGATTGTGCACACTCGACAAATTGAACCTTTTCTTGGTAGAAATCAAATTATTAGGAGGAGCTCATCCTAAATTCCCAATTATAAACTGTAGTTAAATGATCATTCTTCATTAGTAATGACTTAGTAAAACATCTGAAGGTAAAGAAAGCTGAAGCCAAAATAAATAATAGAAAGGAAGTTTACCCTAAATTAATAAGTATTAGACTTACGCTAGGAAAGCAAAACCAATAATTTAGTCATATACTTTCAGACTTAAAAATAGTAATAAAATAAGAGAGGCACATGGGTGGGTTCCACTAATTTTAGTAGCATAAACAAAACATTACCCCAAGCCCCACATCCTGCACCAGTGGCACAAATCCCGAGAGCAGAAACGTTCAGTCACGACGGAAGTACTTGCCTCAGTCACGATAGATGTGAAGTTGTCCACAAAATGGATGTGCCTGGCAAGCTCAGCTCTGCTCGCTGGAATTACTTCTTGGTCTATATGATACTCAGGCACAGCTCCCACAAGCACAATAAGCATCGACTGACAGGCCACATACACCTTGAAATAAGACAGAATCATTTACCCTAAACAATCCCAAGGTCACCTGATGGAACACTCTAAGCTTGTCATTATCAATTAACGATTTCCCTTTACCCAGCATCACAAACAAAACACAGTCTACTGTGTTTAAATCCCAGATGTGATCACTGAGGCAGCTGGGAGCAGCGGGTACCACCCCCAGGATGCTGGAGCACTTTCAATGAAAGCTTTGTCTTGACACCCCCTTCCTCTTGCAAAGTTCTTCAGCTTGTCCTTTTGCTGTTTTGTAGCCAGGCACAGGAAGGGAAGGCACTAAGACCCTCATCCTCGTTTCACAGCCAAGATCTAATACTTAGACCAAGATTATTATTACAAATAAATAATTTACTGACTGTTTTTGAAGAACGTAACCCGTGGTGACGAGTTAAAAAGAAATATAAGATTGTATTTTTAGAAGTCTCTGCTAGTTCTTTCCAATGCAGAGACTGAAACTTCAACCTGGTTATCAGGAGAACTAGAATGTGCAGAAGTAATAAAAGAAAGTCTCTGCTAGTTCTTTCCAATGCAGAGAGTGAAAATTTAACCTGGTTATCAGAACTGGAATGTGCAGGAATAATAAAGATTTTTCATAAAGAAACACTTATGAGAATATTTATTCATGAACCTATGGGTTTGAAGATACTTTGAATACTTTGAATGTCTTCCGGGCTTTGCATGTGATTTTTTCTAACTTAAAATAAGATCATCCTTAAGCATATCCACATATTGGTGATTTTTAGCACGTTACCACTGACGGAAGTGTTTTGAATATAGAATAGCTTCCCTCCTTGAGCCACAAGTCTTTGGGTGGCAGATGTGGCTGGGCATATTTTCAGCGAGCCATTCCACCCTGTGCTCACCTCGGATGTTCTTGCAGAAAGAAATTATCAACAAAACCCTGCAGCCTCCCTCCCTCCCAAGAGGGTTTTAGTTCAAAATGCAGAAGTGCCGTGGCAGGAGGAAGCCTGTTGGGGAGAAACCAAGGGAGCCAAACAGAGGAGTGTTTGTGCGCGGGGGCGTGGATGCTATTTAAAGACAGCGCCCTGCAAACCACTTCTCGCAAGAGATAAAAATAATAAAGCAGCAACAACAACAAAAAACCAAATCAAAACAAACAAAAAAAAAACCCAATAAACAAACAAAACAAAAAAACCAAAAAAAAAAAAAACCCGTCCCACGAACCACAGCCCCCAACCCCCCCGCCGCTCGGCGGGGCTCCATTTCCTCCCGCCCCGCAGCACCCGGCGAGAAGCGGAAGATCGGCGCAGAAATCAGGAAAAACAATATCACAAAGTTTGAAAAGACCCGCCAGAGCCGCGCTGGGACCAGCACGAGGTTTGAACCCCCCCGAACCCTCCTCCGGCAGCGCACACGGAGCCGGGAGGAGGTGATATCCCGGAGGACGTTGGCTGCTCGGGGCGGGCTGCCTCCCCGTCCTCCCCCCGAGAGGTACCACCCCAAAAACGGAGGGAAGCCCCGCGGAGGGACGGCAGACGGACCCCCCCGGTTCCTCCTCACCTGCAGGAGCACCAGGAAGGCGGTGAGCCGCCGCTGCCCGCCGCCGAACTCCCCCGCCGCCCCGAAGGCCTCCTCCAGCCCCAGCGCCATGGCCCGCCCGCCACACGCCGCCCGCCCCGCCCCGCCCGCAGCCCCCGCTCCTCCGCTAGTCATTAATTACCCACAAACTAAGCCATCTCGGGGCGATCCGAGGCCACCCCTGGAAGGGGAGGCGGCCACACGGCCCCTCCAAAAAGGCCAGAGGAGAGAACGGCACAGCTCAGCCCCGGAGCTGCCTGAAAATGGGAGCCTCCCCCCCTCTCCCCTCACCTCGGTTTATTAAGAGATAATCAGGATTTAATCCAGCCCAGGTACATTGCAGGCTGCTCCCGAGGGATCATTTTGCTCTGCAGCCTTCCCTCCCCCCGTCCCCCCCGGCTGCTGTCTCCAGCACCCACAGAACAAGTCCCCTCCACTTGCTGATTGAATAAAACCAATTAAACTACCATAAACCTTCTGTTCGCCCCGTGGCTTCCACCCGGTTTGCAGAGTGCCACCTAAAAGCTCCAGATCCTGTGGACAACAGGAGGAACTCCAGCTAGGCTGGCAATTCTGGTATTAAGAACAGAGACATGAAGTATTATTAATTAGGGCTGGGGAAAAGGGGTTTGACAAAAGCACAGCAAGTGGCCTTTGGTGAAATTCCTTCAGGACTGCAATACACATGGTCATGCTTGCATTCTTCCTATCATCATGTTAAAGATGCAGCTATACTATGCTAGCTTTATATAGGGGTGGCTCTGATATTTTTTATTTTTTTTTTAAGTCTTCTCTTTGGGATTAAGTCTTTCCCCCATTAGCTATACCAAGAAATTCTTTCCTTTGAGGCAGTAAATTAGGATTACATCCCCTTTGTATTTTTAGTCCCAGAAAATTAAAATTAGCAGAAAAACTAGATGGGACAGTGCAGCTCACCAAGAAAGCAGCGAGTGCCACGCGACAGTGGGTACGTTGCCCAGGAAGAGCTAAGCAAGGGTCAAAGTGCTGCTTACCTTGGAACTGTGACAGCATGGATAAAAGCAGCTTTCTAAATAATTTCTGAGCTTCCTCATCCACGTCGTCAGCATACATTAGCAGACGGTAGTGAAATCCTAGGTTTTATTTGAAGTCTTTACAGCCTCTGCTCCAGCTGCTCTCCTGATTCCTACCCTAATTCAAACAGAGCAATCTGCTGCTGAACCTTGGCAAAGGCAGGCAGACATAAACAAGGCAGTTCCTGGCTTGTTCCTGAACACATCTACAGAAAGCATGAAAATAACTTTGGAAGTCTACTGATTTTACAAGACCAATTAGGTTCCCCCTCATGTTCAATCATCTGTTTTCCCACATAAGTGTCAAAAATGCACATCACAAGGTCTCAAAAAGAAAAAAAAAAAGCCGCCCCAGACTGTCACCATTGCTGCATCCGCTTCATCTTTTCAGCCTAGGACATACGTACCAGCGCTATTTTAGCATCAGCAGATAATCATGCCCTGAGCAGGTCTCACCAGCATCACCTCAGACAGCAGAAAGACAGCTTTTAGCCCACATGCACAAATGCTCCTGCTCCCTGCTAAACATCAGTTGAACAAATAAAGGGGGGAAAAAAAAAATAAGTCAGCATTGCTTTCTGACATCCACAATTTCTTCAGTAGGCAGGGGGTTTGTACTGTATCAACTGTTCTGACATTCAGAACTGAAGCACTGCAAGGCCCCTCACAGTCAGTCTGTACTTCTGGGAAATATTTTCAAAATGCTTAGGAGACACTAGCAGTAAATAGTTGTTTTCAAGTCTTTCTCCTCAATTTACTGTATCAAGCAATTCTTTCCTTTGATGCATTAAGTCGGGAAGCTTTGTGAAGAAGGTCCAGAAAATGGGGTTACTGAGGTTTTTTGCTTGAGTTTTACGAGTTGTGTCATACTTTGAACAGTTTCAAAAGTCTCCTCAAAATTCTGAGAGGCTGTTTCAGTACTGGAATTGTTATAATAAATCACAGAATACAGATGACAGTGACTGACTTGTTAATCATAATTCAGGTAATAAAATATCCACTGCATCCTGTTCAAAGCAGCATTTATTAAAGATAGTATCAAGATAAGTCAATGCATAATGAAGCTTTCCCTCCTACAAATATGTAAACAAGTTGACAGCAAGTTATTATTAAAATATAAAAATTAAAGCTTACATTGCATTTTTTTAAAGCTACTAACTTCAGTCTCAACATAGACAGTCTCTGGTCTGTAGCATTTAAAAATATGAGTTCTTGAAAAATGTTAAAGTACTGCCTTTGCACAAACACATTTTTGTAGAAAAATACTTTAGAATACCAACTTTCCATTAATAAATGCAACACCAAAAATAAAATGCATCTTTTGTCATCAACAGCATTAAAATGCATCTAGCATTTACTCCACCATTCTGTTTAACCAAATTATCTTGTGTTAATTTTAAAACCCATAGTAGTTTGCAAAAGGTATCTTGGATAATATTCAATTGCTTTCAGATAGCAAAGCAATTAGCATTAAGTAGCTAATATTGGAAATTACCTTGTAATTGAAGTCTGGCCTAAGTTTATGTGCAACTGAGACCATCAGTTTAATCCTTATCTCAAACTGTGCATTTTAACATTTCTTGCAAAGAAATCCGAGTCAGTTCAGATATATTTTGGGAAGGCTTGAAACCTTAAAATCATTTAACAAGAAATACATATTCTCTTTTAAAGTACCTTTAACCTCTGTGTAAGTTTTTCTTTATCTATGTTAGCAATCCTGTTGGTGGCAATCAGTCAATTGTCAGGAAACACATTGTTCATAAAAACATGTAATAGTTTGACATAAACTACATTTTACATTCCCAAACAAAAAATAATGTGAGGTTAAATTTTGATTTTTAACATTTTTCCAAGAAGTTTACTAGCAAGAGCTAGACAGATCAATTTTGCAGTTAAGGCAGAAGAGTTTGAAAATTCCCTGTACACAAAGTTTAAAAGATTGCGTAGTGGTTCAAAACCAAATGAAACTAAATCCAACAAACACAGAGAAATACATATAATTGGGATGAAAGCTAATCATGCCATTGTGCCCTGCCCAGCATCAGCTGACAATGAACAGCAAGGAAAAAAATAATTAAGATAATACAGTGTAATAACAGATAATAACCAGTTTCAGGATGAATTATTTCAAAGAGCAAAATCAAGCTGTCAAGAAAAGAATTTTACAGTAGGATATCAGACTAAAAAAACAGCCAGGAAAACACTGGAAATTTTATCACTTAAGACAGTATCTGAGAGAACACAAGTACATTTATATGCAAACAGTAATGAATATGAATAATACTGCCAGCTTTCCTAGCTCCATGCATAGTTCAGAAAAAGGAGAGGTTTTTTAGCCTTTGTCAGTACTTAATGAGCAAGCTAAGTCTGCCAGAAGTGACAGCCTCAAGTACATAACACCATGTAGCACAACTCACTGACCATGAGTGTGGCAAAGCCCAAACTACTCAAATGATCTCCAGCCCTGGAAATGCGAAAAGAGCACAAGACCCAAAATATGGTCTACATGGAGCTGTAACAGGAATTATTTTGAAAGAAGGGCTTACCCTGCTCCTTCATGCAGGTTCTGATTTGTAGAAAGATGACAATTTTATTGGCATGCTTGCCAGTAAAACAAACATGATGAGTTAAAGCAAGATGTGGTGGCAAGTGCTCAAGGAGGACCCTCAACTGGAGTGTAAGAGTTAAGAGATTCCACCCAAGGCCCAGGTTAGTTCTAATTTTCAAAGAGGGGCGAGATGTAAGAGGGTAGAGGAAACTGAGGCTTTTGCATTTGCATCTCCTTATAAAAGCTAGATCACAACTTGCAGTTTTGGTTAGAGGATGGGATTTTTGCACTAGGCTCATTTGGGAGACAGCAGCCTTCCTTCTTCTGGTACTGCATCTTTGAGTAAAGTAATACAGGTTTTGGCCTATTAATGACATATGGATTGGTGCAACTTCTTACTAAAGCATTTAACTTCCTCAGAGATGCTAAGAGCATCGCACCATCAGTATTGTTATGTTTGACCAAGGGTTTGTGCTTGGCTTACACATGTCTACAATAGCAAGTGAGTAATGCAGGGCTAACACAGACCAGCTGCATTTTAATCCATACAATTCCAACCCTGGCCCAAAGTCTACAGAAGACTACTTCAAATGCCAGAATATAGTAACAGAACCTGCCAGCAGTGAACCTGCTACAGCTGTAATATAAGGAAAAAGAACTGCAGAAGGCCCAAGCCTTAAGAATTTGTTTAAAGCACTGCAGTAGACTTGGAGGTGACTGGCATACCTGGAGGAAGGAGTCCAACATCCCAGGATAAGAGATATCACATAGCATTTTTCTCTTCAAGGAAACTAATGCCATCTCTCCCCTTGCCAAGTAATAAAATGAAATCTACAAAAGTGAGTGTTTGCTCCCTGAATCCACAGTAGAAATATATGTTACACAGAAAGTCAGCCTAATTCTCAGAATTGCAGAAAGTAGAACCAAAGGGGACCTCCAAAAGTCATTTTGACAGGTCCCTGCCTTGAAAGACATTCCAAAATTGATCTCTGTGCAAACAGTTACGCCATGGGACTCTAAGTTAAAATGGCTGACTAAATCAGCTAGACTTCTAGAAAAAGTTATCCGCATGTAAATATTTCAGTAATAACTTTAGCAATAAGTACTACACAGCCAATTTTAGAATCTACATATGATATGAAATATATATACACATTCATATATATATATATTCACCCTTAAAACAATGCAGAGCAAAACCAAACCAGGGCCTGAATTATCTACCATACATGCCTTCATGTCAGCATGACTTTAATACACAGCTGATGGGCTGATCAGATCCCTGAGGGCTATCACTGGAATTGCTACAAGTTTTGCTTACCACAATTTTAACCAAAAACTGACTTAAATCATGTTACATCTCTCTAGGTGAAGGAGGAAGACAGACACAAAACAACAAAGAAAACCCCCCACAAAACACAAAAACCCCACACAAAAACCCACACAGCCCTGTAATACATAGAAAGGCACCTGATAATATTGTTAATTGTTAGTAGCAATTATCTACAGCATTCTAAGTGTGCTTAAGCAATCAAGGCAAGTTCTAAAAAGACCTTGAAATACAAGAAATGCTGGCATTCAAAAAGATAAGCTTAACCTACTTAAGAAGTTACTAAAATGACATGTGCAGCTGTAAATCAGTAAGAGTGTGCAAAACTGTACAGTTTTGCATAAAGTGCTAAATGTCCCCCCAGTTTGCACCTATTAATATAAATTTGTTAAACTTGGCAATATGATGCAAGAAGATGATCTTAAGGATGTATGATATCTACCTTGTCTTTCCATTTCCTTCCCCACCATTATCTACTGTCCTTTAAACTGTAGATTTCCAAATTACACAAAGGCCTTTCCAGGAATTGTAGTTCAGCAAAATAGTTCAAGTATACCTATCTTTCCATGTAAACTTAGGGACACTATGGGTTCGATCTTCACAAGTTCCAAACACTTACAACTTCTGCTATTTCAATCAGAGTTGTAATTATTTCGGTCTGTTCAGTACCTCTGGAAAAAGGCTGTTTCCTATTACTCATTTAACTCCCATTTAAGGAGTGCTGAAATTCATACTGTAACTTGTCCAGATTTAAGTCTAAACAATAAGCAATTAAAGAAAAGCAGAGCAGTACTTTACCAACCATTTCGGTTCATAAAACCAAGTCCTACCGTATCTATTCATACATACTCATTATATGAATCATACATAGATCTTTAACACTCGACACACTGAATTCAAGTTATTATAATACAGCAGTTTGTCTTGCAGGCATTGTGCAATACGCTTAGAAGTATACGGCGGGTCTCTTCTTTATTCTGTATTTCAATGATCCATACCGTATCTGAGGGGAAAAAAAAAATTATAATTTAACAAGACTTGACATCACTTCAGGCAGGAATATTAAGTACCTTTCCACTAAGCCAATCTAGTAAGCACCGTTAATGTGCTTTGGACACTCCACAGATTCACTAAGAGCATCTACCTATGACTGAACAACATACAGTTTCAAGAGAATTGGGCAAGAAGGGTAAGTCTCAACTGTTTTCCCAGACTTACACAAAAAATATTTATCCTGAAGTATCTTTAAATGTTGTGACACAGAGAAATAAAGCACTTTGAATCTTCACTTTGTGGGTTCCAAGTCAAAGCAGGCCAATATGTCTATGGAAACTAAACAATTCTGAATCTTCTTTAATCCATTAAATTGCAGATGTTTAAGTGTGCACAACCAAGACATGCAAATGCAGATGACAATACTGCAATCTACACCCCTTTCAAGGTGAGTAGTTCCTGGATTTTGGGCTTGCTGGTGTCAGCATTAGTATTCCAAGCACAGAGTCTAGTTCATCTCCTCCTCCCTTTTTCCTTGCTTAGTTAATTGCATTCATGTATTGCCCTTAAAAAACCCCGAAGTACAAAAAATCCAAGCTTAACCATTGTTATCACATACTTCCTTCTCCATTTAGCATTCTACAATCCAGTAATAGTTGATAACCCCTCTAAGATTAAGGAAAAAAAAATCTGCACTACAAAAAAACCTCAAGGTACATTTTAAAAATCAAGCTCAATACTTAACTAAGATTATTTCCCCTGTATTTGATACTGGTGGGGCCCCACCTCAAGTGCTATGTTCAGTTTTGGGCCTCTCACTAGAAGACAGACATAGAGGTGCTGGAGTGAGTCCAGGGAAGGGCAATGAAGCTGGTGAGGGGTCTGGAGAACAAGTCTTCTGATGAGCAGCTGAGATAATCAGGGTTATTTTGGCTGGAGAAAATGAGGCTGAGGGGAGACCTTATCATGCTCTACAACCACCTGAAAGGAGGTTGTAACAAGGTGGCACCTATCTCTTCTCTGAAGTAACCAGCAACAGGACAAGATGAAGTGGCCTCAAGTTGTACTGGGGCAGGGGGGGTTTAGATTGGATATTAGGAAAAGTTTTTAGACTGAAAGGGTTGTTAAGCATTGGAACAGGCTGCCCAGGGAAGTGGTAGAACCGTCATCCCTAGAGGTACTTAAAAGACAGGCAAACATACTGCTTTGCAGTATGGTTTAGTGAGGGTTTTTGCCAGCATTAGGTTGATGGTTGGATTAGATGAGCTGAAAGGTCCCTCCCAACCCAGACAATTCTATGGTCACACTTGCCTCTTTACGGCCTTTAATAGTTTTCACAGATTTCATGCTCTGCGTTCTTCGAAGGCCTCTCTGAGCAAACATTTCATCCTCTGAATGTGTCCCCTCCATCTCTTCATCTGTTTTATCATCTCCAGGATTTTTTTCCAATGGAGTTTTGTAACCTTTAAAAACAGTTTAATAAAAATGTTTAATAAGCAGCAGCTATAATTTTGAAGAAATCCATGAGTTTCATCTTTAACACACATCCCCTATTCTTTTAAACAATATGGTCAGTTTGCCAGCTGTTTCAGAACAGCTAAACATCTCGTCTGCCAGGAGCTTGATACTTACAATCATGTCCACAGATACGTAATGCAGTGATCCTTTAATTGTCAAAGGTCAAGCCTCCAATCTGCTACCATCTTCTGCCTTACACAGAACTGCAAAAACCTCAGTGGTCATCTTGAGAAGTACTTGAGATTTTCAGCCACAATCCCCACGGAGGGGGGTTGAACTAGATAATCTTTAAAGGCCCCTTCCAAGGATTCATTTGATCTTTCTACGTACTTGCATACTCTCTGCATACTTAATACCAAAATGCTCAGAAAGATACAGTATCATGTGTTTACATCCAGCAAAGATAGGACCAAGATTATTCCCAAGGCTTCTCGCTAGAGGGCGCAAACTGCTTAAAAACTCGCGCTGAAGCCCTTGGAGCCCAAAAGCCCCGAATCCCCATCACAGATTTACCATAAACACCCCAAATATAGTCTGGTTCCTCGCCCCTGCCAAGCTCTCCTTTCATAAGACCATTCCACAATGAACAAGCTGTAACACTTGGAGGCACCTTTTAGACTCCAAACCCAATTTTATTCATGTGCAACTTATGCTTCACTATTTTATTTAGGCTTGATTAGATTGATTTCTTTTGGTCATTTCATTTTTTTCCCTTAAATTACAATTAGATTCACCTACTCCACAGCTACTTAAGTCAGACTTGCCTCATCTGCCATTCTGGAGGCAACATGTCTCTGCCTTTCACAGTTTCAATTCATCATTTTCAATATGGAAGATTTCAATCACATCTGTTACTCATAGAGCTTCTGACTAGGGATGTTTGCAATGACACCAATACTTCCTTATCTCTATTCATAACACTTCTTCTGACGCATCAAAGTCACAATTGTCTTTTTCACAGCAAGCATACTGGCAGCTCAGCATCCTATGATCAATGTTCTTCCACAACTAGGTCTTTTCAACTGATTTGCAAAGGAACTCCTGGCTCAGATCACACAAAAAAATAATTATCTGTTAAGTACAATGAAATATCACTACATAGTGCTCCTAAGTCTATCCATGGTTTGTTCTTATTTTAAATCTCTAATGCTGAAGCAGCTTCAAAGAAAACAGAAGAGGTGTACACTACGTTTGGGTGCAGGAGTAGGAACAATTAACTTATACTAGCTCTAAAAAAGCATTTTGACTTATGAGACTGAAATGTGACCATCAGTGGTTATTTACACAGTACAATCTGTGACTGAGTAATTAAAAAAAAAAAAAAAGGATTTTGGAGCATTTTCAAGCTATTTCAGATAGATAACTAATACTCTATTACTAAATAAGAGCCCCTGCATAACAGCTGCAGTGATATCATGCCAAATTAAACTCTTGATGAATTCACAGGCTTTCTCTCTAGCCAGTATCCCCTTTCTTTGCACTCACCTGCACATGATACCTTCTGGGCTCAATTAGTAATTCAGCTTAGGGCCATTCAGGTGGCCATTTACTCCTCAGAAACACCAGGGGCTACCTATCATGTGACACCTGGAATTCCTTGTGCTCCACAAGCACCACCCCTCCTCCAAGTGGAGGGATGAGTGAAAATGACAGGCTTAGGCAAAAAGGAAGTAAATAGACCAGAGCTATTTCATTTGTGGGAAATATCAACTACTTAACATTGGAGCCTCAGCATTTAAAAGGTGCAACTGACAACCTTCCACTGAAACCTTCCTTCAAGCACCATTGGCTCAACAGCAAAGTTATGATTATGATAATAATATGTAATATAATAATAAAAAATAAGACTAAAAGCATCTCCACAAAAATATAGATTGGTTACCACACACCATCTTTTGGGTGTTGATGTGCAGTCAAGATAGCAGTTATCATAACTTAATGCCTTCATTATTCCCATCACGACAAGCAATTTTGTATTTTGAACTATTACTACAAACCTACTGAATTTGTTTCCATTAATTTTCTCTTGCTATTTAGTGAACTTCCATAAATTTTCATGTATAATTTTTTGTACATGTCACAGAAACACCACTTAATCATAAAGGTTTTTTCACTTACAATTAAGCTTTACTTTGGCAAGGAATTCTCATTGCTAATCGGCAAAGACAGGAGTACAGTATGACTGTACTGTTAGTGGCTGTGAGAAGAAAATAACCCAGGTAGCATTTCTCAAGTGCTGTAATATATCTTGCTCAAGTCAACTCTGTCCAAATTCAGTAGAATTCTTTGAGGGCCTTTCCATTTCTAACTAGGGTTAATATATTTCTGCTTTCCCATCTTCCCCAACTCACCTTCAGTCTTCGGTGAATTGTTCTTCTAGCTCAAAAAAAAAATAGATAGATACTTACCTGAAGATTCACTTGCAGAGGCTCTGGTTTTCTTTTTTGCTTCTGGCAATGTCTGGTAGGGCCTCTGTCCTACCGGCTCATCTCCTTGTATAGTAGTCAAATCATGCATGCTGAAACTTCTCAGCTTCTCAGTTATCGCACCTTGACTCTGAAATACAACAACACAATCTTTAAAAAAATGAAGCAGAGTTTGACTTTGCTGTTCAAGCTGGGTTAGGATATTTAAGCCCATGCTTCCTTGTTGCACTACAAAGTTCATTAAACATCAGCATGCGGCAGATTTACATTTGCTTTAAGCACTGCTTTTACCCAAGCTTAACTGTATAATGCTTCTAGACCAAAAAGTTACAGATAAACTAGCAATTTCATTACAAATATCTTATTTCACTCCTTTAATCTGAGCAAATAAAGGCTTTTGGGGTGAGGGGAAGTGTTCAAAAAAACCCATCAGAAATGCTCAATTCCCTTCAATCATACCTCCATAGCAGCGCTAGGTAGCACGACAGTGGCTTTAACACTTTAGTTTTAAAAAGCTTGGTTGAAGATAAAGATTTCTGCCCTTCTATTTTTTCACCCTCTACAAATTTCAATATGCATAAGAAAGGGAAAAAAAAGTGTTAAACACACACTCTGTAACATAAACTCAAGTAACTGAGAAACTGGCAGCACTGCAGAAGCTCTAGTCGACAGAAACTTGAAACCACAAACCAAAGAGGTCCTGCCTGGACTACTGGCTAACACCTTCTCTTGCTAATGTAGCTTTACTGACTTAGTATCAACCCAAAATCTAATGCTACATATAAGGATAGTTAATCACATTTGAGCATTGGTATTCCTTCTCCGACTGCCTTTACATCTTTTCTTTAAGGGACACACAGAAAGTCCCCCTTGGAAAGGAGGATTGTCAAGCAGCTTTTTCATCTTACACCAGATGATCTTACAGCATTGAAACTTAATTTATTGTATAAGCAACTAAAAGGACAAGCACATTACTCAATATCATGTTAAAATAACATTCAATTCTTCCATCTCTGGCAAATGAGGGAAAAAAAAACCAAAAACATTTTAAAGGAAGGCTGACAAGCCTGTGCATGAAACCCACTTCAAGCAAGGGTTCAAGATTTTGTCTCATTCTTACAAGTGAAGCTTTTGTGTAAAATTCCCCATTTGAGCATTACGTTAGCCAACAGTACCAGAAATCCAGGTACAATTCCACACCCCTGTCCACAACAGTACCAGCATAAGGCAGTTCTCCAGCCATTTGTTCCCACTCTCATGGCAACAACTGTTTGCAGATGGTAGACCAGAACCCTAAATAATTCCATGTTAAAAATAGCCATGTAAAGTGAAGAGACAGAATGATACTCCTTAAGCTTGTGTGACCGCCAAAGGTGCCGGAGGAGGGAGAGTGGCTGAAACCTAATACTTATTTTCTAATTGCCTGGTCATTAGTACAACATATAAAGCCAAGACAGTGTGCTACACAGGCAAGAACAGATTTTAATTGTTACACCACCTTTCGTGGCTTAAGAAAATAATAAGGAAAGGGTTTCCTATGAGAGAAGAAGAAGCCTTTACTTTTCTAGTTCTTCCTACTTTTATGTGGGATGAGCGGCAGTTCTCAAGAACACCACCGCTGCTTGCCTTTGATTTGAAGTACACTACTGACACTGCACAGTCTGTGTATGAACTACTGTAGAAATTCTGAAATTGATTTTATTCCCTAAAATGGCTTATTTACGGCAGGTCTGCTTGGCCTTAAAGCAGGAATCCTGTCCTTCCATTACTCCAGTTCTTGCTTTAAAAAGCATTTGGACAGTAAATCAAATCAGGAACCAGATATGCCTGAGAAGTAACAGTCAGTTGTTAGAACACTTGAGAAAAAGAACTGAAGAGACAGGACTGCTTTTTTTGACAAAAAACAGCTTACAGTATCTGCTATAACATATAAACCTGTTGATCAGTCTGCATCCTCTGCTTCAACAGACACAAATGGACTCAGGTCTCAAATCACTGCACACTGATGAACGCATAAAATGGACACAGTTGGTTCTCAGCACAATCCAAATAAATTCAGCACAACTCCAACCACTGAGTGTGGACAGAACTTACTACAAAATAGTGACAGAAGCTGCATTTGCCCAGTAACAGAAGTACAGAAAGACACATTATTACACTGTAGATATCAAGGTCTAGATCCAAGCTGGGAACATTCAGCTTATTTTTGCAGTGCAGCTTTTAGTTACAGAATTTTGTTTTTCTAAGGGGAAAAAAGTCATGGTATGTGCCATGAAATAACATTGTGCCCTTAACCAGACCGCGCACTCAATGAGGCTGGAGCTCCTGTGGAGCACTGTCTCATTCAGCAAGGACATAACAGATTCATACAATGGCCCCTTCATTCCAAAAGTACTTGCCAAGATGGAAAGCTTCACTCAAGTTACACACAACAAATATTAAGAAGTTTGTGTGTATATCTCCTTTCATATACACAAAAAAGAGATGCAGGACACATGCCTGAGAGCCACAGTAGGAAAGGGGGCTGCACAACCACTGCTGTACTTCACAGTTACTGTCACACATAATACTAATCCTTTGCAGGTGCTCCCTACTGTCCTCCCACCCCAGTCTCCATCCCACCCCCAGGAAAACCCAGTTTAGCCACACCAGGATTGATTTCTACCACACACCACTACATAGACTAATTGGAGGACAATTTTCAAGGCGCTTTGTGTGATTGGGGGTGTTTTTTTTTAATCATTAAAAAAATTAAAAGGTTCTTATTATTACAAAAAACCCCACATACCACTTGTGCTCATACAGTACTTAAGATTTAGAAAGATTCTTCCACCCGCCCCATGCTCTTAAGCAGCAGATAATCGCTGTTTGCTGAAACAAAGCATTCCACAAGGATCTGTATTACTATCAGTTCAGAATGAAAACCTGGCTGAAAAATATTTAGTACCCTCTGCTGCAGTACATGTCACACTGCATGCCCTCCACTGCAGGAAGCGTGAGAGTAACATTCACATTTAGACTATTAATGCATTAAAAGCTTTGATATCTTGTTTGAAAGTTCAGAGTTACTTGAAAGCAAGATGTTTGCCCATAGAAGATAAGGCAGAGCAATCCAATTGCAGGTGGAGCTGAAGGGGGATCTCCCGTTTCCACACTCACACCATGGGTAGAGCAGCAGCCATCACCTCTCCCCAGCCCTACACACAGCCCCGAGATGCTGCTCATGAGAAGATGGCAGAGCAGTTGCCATGCCTGCACTGGTGTCCCATTATTTCAACAGTTCCTGTCAGTAAAGAAGAAATCCAGTGAGCTGCATCCAGCCCAGAGGCTGCCAACTAAACTACACCACAAAAGACTGAGACACATACACTTACAATTACAATGCAGGCAAAAACAGCAGAGAACAATTTCAGTGCTCAAATTTCTATGTAAATGAGCACTGGAGAGAGATGAACTGTGAAATTTCTGTTGTCTTAAACAAAATTAAAGTCTTGAAGAATAAGCCTGCTTATTTATTCAACAGTATTTCCTAAAACACATTGAGCGCTTTTCAGAAGCCACGTTCATTACTAGTGACCAACCTGAAGCCCTAATTTAAGTTGTAAAGGGTTTCTAAATCTAGTTTGTGATAAATATAGCCTACTTAAGGGACTCCTTTTGAGACTACTGAGACTCTAGTAAGCTATTAGTATGCCGTCTCATCAGCTGACCCTCGTGTATGAAATGCCCTTCTCTATTTTGTTATCGGGCATGTATTTTTATAGTCTATATACTTAACCCAGGGAAGTTGGTGTAAACTGATGCCACATGGTATGTTTGCCTCAGGGACTCTTTTTTTCCTGTTGATTAAATTGGACTTGCACCCCGCCAATAGTCATGATGGCTGAAGGAAGCTCCTTGCCTTCATTGGGTAGGTTCTCAATGGACCACATGTCCACAGAGCTGCTGGGAGCCTGTGGCACAGCGTGCGGCACCCACATTCCCAGCTGTTCTCTCCCTGCTCCGATGGAAGCTGACAGGGAATGACTTCTGTTCCCTCTCAACCTGGAGAGGGACTGCTGTCCCGTGCGTGACCTCTGCAGCATGCCAGGCAGTCCCAGCAGGGAGGAGGGATGAAAGGAATATTGCTGGTGAGTTGAGCTGCTCAGCCATCCTGGCTGCTCGCCACAGCTGGCTGCAAGACACCTCCTTCCTCTGCCATGCCCCGAGTGGGAAGAAGGGGAAGTCTGAGCAGGGCCATTAGAATAATACTCAACCAGCAAAGAGGCAGGAGATTCAGGATAACTAAAAGACATGCAGAAACACAGCCCTCAAAATGCTGTTGGTTTTTTTTTTTTCCCCACCGAAAATACTTGTGTGACCTCAAAGAAGGACAGTTCATTTCACAGTTATTTAGCAGCCATCCCGTACGTGGCAGCAGAGAAACCAGTTTTCACTATTAGCTTGAGAAGCCAGAATTTGTGTTGGCCAAAATTGGAATGTACAGGTAACTGGCATCTCAGAAGATATGGAAAACAGATGCAAAAGGTATACATATATGCACACAGAAGGTGTATCAGTGAAACTTAGTGCAACGGACATAATTTCCACAATTCCACATACTATTGAACTGAAAGAGCTCCAACAACTTTCCTATCATTAAAGGCATCTTGTTGCTGATTCTTTTATACTTTAATTTTTTTATTATTAAACATAAAAGCCTAGACCATATTTCATCTCTAAGTCTCTTGAAATCAGGATTTCACAAAGATTTGTTTTCTTACATTGACAAGACAGTAGAACAATTTAACTTTTATGTATGCTATTTAGCAGGTTTGGAAACACTAAATTTTGTATGAACAGTAGCTAACTAGTACCAGCTAAAAATATCAGTATAGGAACACAATCTATAAACCATGGCTCCTGCCAATTACATTTTTGCTTCACTACAGCAGAACAGGTTTAGATCTACGGCAAATTTTGGTAAACCAACTTGGCTGGCTGCTCCAGCCTCCCCTACACAGCCAACTAGCCTTTCAGTACTAATCCCATATTCCTTTGAAAGCCCTTGGAGAAAACTGCTCTTTCCCACACTTGATCTTGAAAAGATTCCAGAGAGTTTACAAGTTATTTTACCACCCTCCTCAAGTCAGCACAAGCAGACATCACAGCACCTTTTGCTTGGACACTTAAGTGACAGAAGCATTCTTTGGACCTCCTCTTCTATTTAACCTCCCACATTCCCTACTCCTAATTTGAGATCCACTACGGCAGAGTAAGCATGGCTGCTCCTTCAAAAAAAAAAAAAAGTTATGAAAGTGTGTCTCCTTCCCATCAAAACTGATCTCACTAATCTAACAGGATTCCATTCCTGAAATCCTATAGCATGCTCCACCAGCTCATACTGCAGGGATAATCTTTTCACCTGCTGGAGGCAGCAGTCAACTCTTGAGAAACAGGGAACAAAATCAAGAACACATGTATTGTCTCCATTTGCTTGCATCGAGCAGTCACGCTTGGCTTTTTGGAATGACAAACTTAAAGAGAGTTTTAACATGCCAAAATGAAGATTTTCAGTGAGTCTCCTCTTTCGTACCGTTTTAAAATCATGTCTATTTTAGGTCTTTGGTATTGTGATGGTTGTTTTGCCCCAGCATCTCATCTGCACTGAACTAATTCTGTACAAGTATTCATGAGCATGTTTAACAAGTTTTAACGAATAGAGCAGGCATCTTGCCAGTCACAGCTGAATAGCAACAAGATCTAAACACAGACATTTAGGAAAAAGTTATTTGTTGTTTCAGAAGAAAGTGGGAGGAAATATTTTTGTGTGAGGTTGTTTGGTTTGGTTTTTTTTTTTGTTTTGGATTTTGGCTTTTTGGAGTTTGGGGTTTTTTTTCCCCCACAATATTTCTGTAGCACCGTAAGGATTGACAAGGAAATATCCAATCTTAGCCAGACATAGAGACATAAGCAAAACACATAGAATCTAAGTATCATTACAGGTGCACAATGTAACAAATTATAATTTGCTTTTTGGCAAACAATTTGCATTTTAGCATTTAGCATAGTTCTTAAACTTTTGGAGTGCTTTGAGGTTCTGTTTGTTGGGTTTGTTTGCTTTAAATAACCTATTTTCACTCTGGATACTTTCCTCCCTTTAGAGGCGTAGTCTATTTCATGCCTCAAGGCAATACTAAGAATATGGAAAAAAAAAGAAAAGAACCAGTGATCCAATTGAATCACATTGTCAATATTTTAGGCTCATTATGTTTTATTTCAGAACAAAAAGTTACTCATGTCTTTAAAATGAACAAACACAAGATACGTATTTTTCCAAATCTTTTTGAGACAGCAAGGTAGTTTTTAGAAATGTCTTTGATTTATAAAGCAAGTAGTTCACATACAAGCACAGAAACTCAAGTTAAATGCTTGCTGTACCTACTTAACTTTGACAGCCAGGGATCTCTACACTGCTTTCTGTTATCTACTAACCATGTTCAGGTTTTCACTCCTGTTACCATGAACACAGCAGTTTCGTTTATTTCCAGGAAAAAATTAATCCCAATTACCTTAAAACTATCATTTAACCAGGCCACACACATCTTTCTTTCTATACTTTGTGTGTGTGTTTTGGTTTAAAGGACTATTTGTTTAGATACATATTGCCTAAAGTTACATACCTTTCAGTGGGCCAAGAGTTGCTTAGAACCTTACTTATAAGCTTGCATTTTGTTTTCATAAACCTAGAACCCTCTGAAATTCAACCAAAGGCCATGAGTTTTGTAGGAAGGTGTCAAGGTTTGGGCCAGACTGGCCACCGAAACAAACAACAGATGCTCCACTCCAGATGATTTGGGAACAACCCCAGGTTACTTCATGATTTAATGGGAATTACATAATGAAGCAAGAGTATGCTAAACAGCAATATGCAAGCTTCTGCTTAGTGTATTAATTTAATAATTCAATCAACAAGTTGCAAACAAGTTAATTGTGTCAAAATAACTTTTATCTGTGGTAGTAATCTTTCATGCCTTACTTCATATATGGAGTTACCTCAAGTTGATTGGAGAATAACAGCAGAAAAGCCAGAAATCCTTTAAATAGTTTGTTTACCAGCAAGAAAGCACAACAGAGACAGAAAAGAAACAATGGTCATCTTTACCAAAAGCCTGTATAGAAAACTGAAATTACAGTAAACTGATCCCCATCATTGAAGAAATAACTACAAGCCATCTTAAACAAATACAGTATGAGGAGGACTACAGGACTGCAACACTTAAATGGTGTTCTACGTTTCCAATACATTTGCAGAAGTAATCTTTTTGTTTAGGAACAATAAATCCTCAGTACAATTAGACCATTCAGTATCAAGGACAAAAGGAATTAATGCAAGCAGAAAGTTACCTTTACAGCCGCTGTCACTGCAGCAGTTGCTGCCAAATTCAACCCTTGCCTTCCAAAATTCACCATGGTCTCATAGCCTCTTTCTTTGGCTTGTACAATGTAGTCATCAATCTCCTAAAAGCAAAACATACCAAAGTTTTAGGGAGCTTTACATAATAGAGTCACATTTCTCCACAGTATTATTTTTCCATCAATAAAGAAGGCAGAAGAAATCTTCAAGAAAATATTTAATGGGACAATTACTCTTGCCTTTGTATACTGATGTTTCATTCACTTACACTCTCTCATTTAGAAAAGGATTATGTCTGGGCAAACAAGTTGATAAAATAAATCACTTCTGTCCAGCTCAGAAACATTGCAGCTACATACCAAGTTCGTTACAGGGTGTAAGCTTAACTTGTCAGACAAACGTTGTTCAAGAAATAACATGCTTAAAATGATATCAGAGAGTTCCTTAAGAAGGTAGAGTCGTCTCACAAAGATCTTCTGAAGCCAGAGCTTTGACACAGGCTAAGTACCAAGGACAATACAGTCATGACTTCATCCCCAGCTGTAACAAACACCTGGAGCTGGAGATAAAGGCTTCACAGCAGTTCACAACAGCTAGCAGACTACGGGGAAAAATCCCTTTAACTTATGAAGTTGCAAACTGCTTGTAGTTCAACCTTCATAAGGTCAAGATGACTGTACTGTTCATATCAGTGGCAATTATGTCAGCTACTTGTTTCACCTAATGAAGGCCAAGCCTAGCACTGACCTTTACGAATGCTATTTTCTGTACCTTGAGGTTTTCCAGTAGTAGTCTTCACACCTTTGCTAATTGCTCTTTCCACACATCCAAACAGAATATTGAAAAAGAGCTAAGCAGATCAGTGGCCCTGTCATACTTAGGCTAAAGCTAAATATCCTTTACTTATTTTCTGCTTGGGCATTTTCTGTTACAGACTGGTCTTCCCTTAAGCCTCAGAAGGACGTGTATCCTGTTATCCTGTCAGTTTGCACACCACAAGAGTCACCATCATCATTTGTCCTCTGAAGTTTTTATTACTAGTCTACGCTAGAAAAAATGGAACATTAAAAGCTGTTGCTAAAACCACATTTATGTTCTGCACAGGGAGTGCCGTCCATGTTCTTCCAGTATAAAGTCAAACTGCATCAGTTCTACTCCACTGTGCTCCCCAAAGTGCACGAAGTAGCCCAGAGAACACCAAGGTATGTCATGTCAATAAAAAAATAGTACATTGTCTGCTCATGCAAGTGAAACAGAAGCACATATATGGGCAGTCATATGCACTTGCCTCTGCTAGTCCAAGTTCATGCTGCCTGGCAAACTAGTAACACACTTATCTGCTTTTATCATGTATCTAGCAACAGTTAGTATTTCAGCATGTGTTATTTCCATTTTAGGCATTAAAAATATGAGAAGTTATTTCTTACCCTTTCTTTAGAAGAAAGCAGCGGGTGGAGAAATTTTCTGTAGATTAAACTCGCCCCTCTAGTGTATGGGGAAAGGAGCCAAATAACAAAAGCTATCTTCAGTTCATAGTAAAGTGGAAACCTACAGACAAATTAAAGATTGCATGAAATCAACAACTGCAATAAGAAAATGCACAGTAATTAATCATCATGAAGAGATCTTCAAAAAACACCATTACATATTAGCATATATGATTCTTCACATACAACAAGTTACATTAGACAAATGAATTAGACATATGGATTTATTTTAATTGACTGCACTGTCATTTAAGAAACCGAAACAATATACTTGCTTTACATTATACATTCCTGCACAGAGAAACTACAGTCCTCCTTAAAGGAACTTTTAAGAATTCCATTCTCTTATTCAGTTCCTCCAGCAAAGGTGGAAGTTTAATAGTCCCTACTTCAAGTGACCATCTACAACAAGCTTGGAAACAGATGTTATTCTTCACATACACTGAGATCTTTTCCTGAAAAAAGTGGGCTACCAACAAACAGAACTTATATAAATAAGTTAAATCATTACAAATCAAAGAACATCAAAAACAAATACAGTTTCATCCAGTGTTCTTAAAAGGAGGCTCTTACCAAGAGACTGTTAGGTCAGTTATTGTTTCAGTAACTGTATAAAGAGCAAACACAATCCAATACATCATCCAGCGAACCTGAAAATTAAAACACCATCTTCAGTAAGAATTGTGATTTCATCTTTCACATAATAAACTACACACTGTACAGTCAGTTCAGAGCTGTCAGAGCAAGATGTTCAACAGTATCTCAATCTGCATCAACCAAATTTCAAATTATATGAAGGTCCTAAGGGTTATTCATACTAACTGAATGCCCACATGTTCTTTAAATTCCAACACTATCATTGCTAGAAAAAAGCCAAAACCATTTTGAAAGAGAAGAAAAACAATACCTGCAACAAGATGCAGTAACCTCATTTAATTTGCAATATACAGACTACCAACTCTTCTGGTATACCCACAAAGCATTAAATACCAAATTTGTTAGACATCAGTTCAAGCCCTAAATTCATGGTACCCTCTTTCAAAAGGAGGAATATATATACACTTTCCTACAGAGGACATGGCTCAGACTTAGTCTTCACTTTTAAAGCAATCTTTTTTTGCAGTGAACTTAAATAAGTGCTCAAAATCTAATGCTACAGTGCTGCCTATTTCACAGCTGTGCATTATGCTTTAAAACCAGTTCCTCTGTCACAACTTGACACCCATTCATCTTAAATGCTTTTCTGCATTTCAATTTGAAAAGAAACTCAGTCATGTGATGACATTCTTCACTTCAATCTCTCAGAGGATTTAGATATTTCAGGCTTGAATAAGCTAAGACAAACCTACAAAACAGCTGAAGTCATCTCTGACAGGCCATGTGACATTCAGGCTGGTGACCCTTCCATGAACCAGAGTCAACACCTGAATAAAAATAAAATTAACACCCACTCTTGCCCAATCAACCTAAGGGCAATGCAATTTTTAAGATGCCATGCAAGACTGATTTTTTTTCCAATATATTTTATCCAGGCTATTCATTTTAATCAACAACTGTTTCTCCAATTAGGAGCAACAGTAGAAGTGGAGTTTCTCTTGGACTGCTAGGAACAGTAAGAAATGCTCTGCAGAAGGTCACATGAGTTCTGCCAGGAGTCCTGCTGAAGTTTGGGCAAGGATCCTCAAAAACACAAGTCAAATCACATTCTAGTACAACTACTGCATTAAATGGTACCAAAGTATCCTTGACAAGTGAACCTGAGTGACTTAAAGTGGTTTTTATACCAGAAAAAAAAGAATATCCAGGAAAAACAGATCATATTTGACACTCCCCAGAAGACTATCAGCTACTTAACTCTTAAAGATGAAGTTAGAGAAGCTTTGATTGAGGTTTGCTTTTAATGTTAAAAAGGTCATCTCAGATTTGTTTTGTTGAGCTTTTTTTCCTACCATCCAAGCATTAAACTCATCTTTGTTGGCTTTAGCTGAAGCACATCCTTTCAAGCCAGGATTTTGAAGACAATTTGAGAAGACTGGTCATCAAGCATCAGAAACTTAGTTTAGAAGTCTGATTACAAGCACTTTGATGTAACAGTGAAAAAACTCCTCAAAGATCTTAGTCAAATCCATTAAACCAGAGTATTAATAATAATAATTAATAATTACAAGAGCAAATAAATTTCCTCAAAGGCACAGATCCTAATTTCTAGAACTGAAGTCAGTAAGAGTGGCTTAGTAAAAATTTTCACTGTTACAAAGCTATTGCAATCCAGCAAACAAAACCAGATGGCTCCTGAGACACACATAACCGTGGAAAAGAAGTCACACTTGGGCCGTAACCTGCCTGGCAGCAGAGCTGTGCCATCTGGAAGGCTGCAGTTAAACCTACACACCCTCTGTGAAAGATGACCACCAAACCACAGATCATCCTTAAGATCTATCTGGACACTCAACCCAACCAGCAACGGAGTGGTAATTCACTGGGTCTCGTTCATTTCAGCCCCGTGAACATTTTGTATGCAACTGCAAGTTCAGGGACTATGCAAAAACCCCAGGTAACTGCAAAAAAATCAGCGTTTTCACACTAAATTAAAATATAGTTGGAAAAATATGGTTCCAGGCCCCACTAAAGGTCTTGTGTAAATGACAAGTATCTCTAAAAAAGGATGCCCAAGACAGACAGGCAAGTTATAGCTAACTGGACAATTGAGATGAGTCAAAACCTCAGCATTCTACAAACATTACTTTTCTTTTCCTAGAAAGCATATTGCAAGAGTATTAGAGTATGAAACTGCTACCCTCTACTTAGCATGTGGATCCCTTTTGAAGGAATAGTGGGGACAAGCAGATTATAAATTCTTTGCATTATATACTTTCCCAAGAGGGTAAAGTAAGCATGGGAGAAGAAATTATTCTCTTCTTTTTGATAGGGTTTTTCCTCCCAGAAGCTTAGCTCTGGCAGGCACTAGCTCTATGTGCACAAACTCTAATGAGCTTGTTCACAGAAACCAGAAGTCTAAATATGTCCACTTTGGACCCTTGATAGAGTGATCAGACTAAATGGAAGACATACAAGGGGAGGAAACAACAGCTACTGCATTTTACTTCTACGAGTGAGTACAAAGCAGAGACATCACACATCCAGACAGCAGCATTAGGTCATGGCTACAGCTGCTGAGTTTAAGTAACTGATGGCACTGACTCCATCCTGAGTCAGGCAGCCAAATTAAGAACAAGGTTCAGGAGAGAATATTGTCAAAATCAAGTTACACTGCCTCTTGAAACACGGAAGTAACTCCGTGACCAAAGCTCCTTGTGACTGCAACTGGGTAACATTCTTGTGGTAATCACTATTGCTCACACTGAAAAGTAAATAATTTAACAGATTAATTCCAAACTGCAGTAACTACAGTAACTGTATCTTTACTCTTCTGTCTGTTCCGCCTCTCCCTCCACATAACTTTAATCAAATCTTTTTCTTCCCTGGTTGCATTTTTTCTCCTCTTGAGGAACAATAGATCAACCAGCGCTATCCTCGTCTCAGGTTGCTTCCGACCCCCCTGTTGAGCTCCATACAATGACAATGAAACCACAGCTACTGTTCAAGTGGTCACCAACAATCTATTTTTCATTGCTTATACTACAAGTGTTGGCAGAATTAGGAATCCTTTTTTCTGCCCCTCTACTCAAAAGCACACTTTGAGCACTTCACTGAAATGCAGCCAACACTTTAAGGTTTATGTTTAAAAATCCTCCTAAAAATATTTGTATACAGCATAGTGTGTTGAACACCTTTCAGCAAAGTCCATGAGAAGTCTGAGAAAGCTTAACTTCAGCTCTCCAAACAAAATCACAGGATTACCACTAGATTCACACTGCTGTTATATCTAATATTAAGATAGCCGAATCAAGTTTTCTTGACTTATTGTACCGCATAATGAAAAATTCACAGTGTATGTCAGGAGAGGCATTTAATTCAGCAATTAAAAGGAACACAACTTACATATTCCTTCACATTTTTTGTCTTCACAGCTTTGTATGAGTAATACGCAGGATACAGCATCCCAAACACCAGCCTATGGGAAAAAAAAAAAAAAAGAGCTTTCAGAACCTCTTATACTGAGAAAACAGTGACAATTAGAGCCATGCAACCAAATTAATTAAAAAATCCCATTCTCTAGCTTGGAAAAACAAAAAAAATCACAATGTTATAGGCTGCTTGGAGGAAGTTCAGCAATACTCAAAAATAGAGCAGCACAAAAGGAAAAGGCTGTATTGCCCTGAAGATAAACAGTTTCGTAAGACAGCCTCTAACAGATAAGGTAAGTCTAGTAGCTCCTCTGGTTCAGCTACAAGCAAAACCAGTCCTGCAGTCTGTCCATACCCAAAGACTGTTTTCTCATTGGCAGGTCTATCACACTTGAAAAGCCTCTAAGAACAATTGGTAGGTAATCAGAATCATCTACTTTTATCAGATAACCAGAAGATTCTTCAAAAGCAATTTTAAGACAGGAGTCACATAGCTTCAGCTCCTTTTGCTGCAACTCTGCAACAGCAACACATAGGAACAGAGGCAAGAAGGAATTAATCCAGTTTTGCTCAGACAGCTGATTTCTACTCAAATTCTTCACATATAAGGTGCAGAGCAAAGTGAGAGCATTCCAAGCAATCCATGCTGAGAGCAGGACCAGAAAAGAGATCTGCTTTAACACAACTTTGTTACAACACAGTATTTTCCAGTAAGAGTCTTGGCCACAGACTAGTGGAACAGTTCTTGATATCCATCTCCTTGACATATGCAAGAGCTCCATTCTTCTATTTCACCAGCTTGTTACACTTCATGAAGTCAAGCAATTGCCTGTCCTTCAGTCCAGCTGGCCTAAAGCAGCAGTTAAAAAGTCTGGCTACATCTCTGTAGCATCACTTACAACTTGCTCAGGATGGTTACGTGGGTTAAATATACACTTGTAGTGATATCCAGAGATCTTCTATGAAAGTTCAGAACTCTTAAGTAATTTAACTTCTCACAGCTAGGTGAAAAAAGATGCATCACACTTTTTTTTTTTAATGAGTCCACCTAGGACAGATCTGGCATGGAAGACTTCAACTCAAATGGCTGAAATTTACCAAACTAAATAATGAACTAAAAATCTAAGATGTTATAGTTGTGTCAGGTAGCTGTAATAAGTGGTTCTACCTACAGAGCCACTGCAGGTGACTGCATGACTCTGTAAAGCTTTACTGTTAGACCCAGGAAAGGAAAGAATTCTAAGAACCTGTAGCCCACTTTACTACTATTTTCTTTTTAAGCAGCTATTCCAGGAGCCTTGATCTTCTTGTTATTTCCAAAGACTAGCACAGAACTTTCCTATAAGATATCAATATAAGTTTGAATTTCATCAGTTTGATATCCACCATCTTCCAAGCAGTACTCCGATATGCAGGCAGAAGTCTTCTGCTTGGTAGGAAGACAGTTTAGAGTACTGAAGTATAGTAAACATATAGTACTTAAGTGAAAAAAAAAATAAGGAATTTTTAACAGCAAAGGTGAGACACTTTCTTCACTACCACAATACCATTGAGAGAGGGTTTCTCCATCTTTTACCTGTGGAAGGAAGCCTGTTGCAGGGGCTGGAGGATATTGGCAGATGTTAAGATGTAAATGCCACAAATAATGGGGGAGAATAAGTTTATGGAAGCATAATTACAGCCCTTCGTGTTTGAAATGGCCTCATGAAGTCATCTAGTCCTATCTCCTGCTCAAACTGAGGTTGACATTTGGATTTGGACCAGGTTACTTAAGGCTTCAGCTGGTCAGGTCTTGGAGACTTCCAAAGAGAGATTTCACATCCTCTCTGGGCAACCTGTCGCAGTGCTTAATGAGTCTCCTAGTGCAAATTTTTATTTACATCCACTCAGAACCATAAGTTCAAAACCACTGTCTCTCTTGGCTGAGTAGGACAGCAGGAGAATGAGCCTAACCTCCAAACAGCTACGTAAGACTACTATTAATCCCCTAAAGCCTTCTCTTTTCTGACTGAACAAGCCCAGTTCATTCAGACTCTCCTCCCAAGTCACATTCTATGACTGCACATGTAAGTTTCTTGCTATGAAGCATACGAAAGAACAACAGTTTGAAACTTTCACTTAACAGATTTTTGGTCTATACTTTCTCACTCACTTTACCATCAAGTAGCACCACCTATATTTAAAAAAAAAAAAAGGTCATCTTCTTAAATTTAAACAGCAATTTAGGCTCTGAATGTGTCATCCTCTAAAATCTGGTAAAATCAATAATTGAAACAGAAGGGAGTTTTTTGAGAGCATTGCTTTAGAAACAATTGAACTTCCAGCAGAGAGCTTACTATAGTAACAATAAGAAGATGATTCAAGTTAAGCTAACGATGACTTTGAACTAAATAAGAACAGTAGCACAAGACAAACACAATAAAGGTAGCCAGTTTTGCCCATCTAGCAAGTCTTCATGTTACTCAATACTGGTCAAATCAAGAGCCAGAAAAATCCCTGTTAGTACTCACTTTTTTCCTTTAAAAACTTTTTGTAGAGCTCACTTTTAAAACCCAAGAATAAGAAACTTCACACTCCAATATATTATTACTTATTAGTGTTCAATACTGTTGTAACATGGAAGAGTTTCAAAAACTGCCACTTATCCCCAAAAAGTAGGCAGATAGGACTAAGAATGAAAAACATCAGCACGTTTAGCCAGTAAATATCGGAACCAGTTCTGTGAAGTTTTTATCTCCTTACGGCCAAAGCTGACATTTTAAGTGTGGAATGATGCTGCTGCCAATTCTAGCATCACTACCTCCTTCACACGGGCAAAGTCATCTAATCTTGGAGAAAGCTACCGGGCAATTTACCCGTACAAAAGCCAACTTATTGTCAGTGAGCGTAGTTGAAGGTCAGCAAATTCACTTTCACCCTCCATCTGTACATGACAGATTAGTATACAGGCAAAAGAGATTGCTGCAGCTGACTGAAGCAGAAACACATAGAAGAGGAGCAGCAGGGAGCCTAGGCACAATCACTATTATTGACATAGAAAGCTACAATAGCCGAGCATTTTCTAATAGTTTCCCTGTTTGCATCAATGCCCCCAAAAACCTTAAAGTTGTTAGCAACATGCACTGCTAGGCATAGGTGCATCCCTCCTCTGGTATATCTACAGTAATTATACAACACACTTACTTCAAGGATGTGCCTAATTCTTTCAAGGCTTTGCAAATACAAAAGTTTAAGTGTTATTTTTAGAACTGCAGTTTGTATTTCACACTGGATAATAGCAGACTGCACTAATGTAGCAGGCAAAACCAAATCCAGATTCCACAGATGGAAACAGATTTCAGTCGAGTGTGATGTCATTTACTTTATTTTACTAGTAGATATATGGATAATCCCGCTTACCAATATAATTTTTACTGCCAGTTGTGCCCCTAGCTATTTCAGCTGTACTCAGCAACTAATATAGCATTCCTATTTTGGTACAGCCACTTCCTCTGCAGACATTTTGCTCATTTAAAGAGAGATGTTTCTCCAATGCACTGGGAAATAAAGATCAAAAGATATAGCAAAAAAAAAAAGGTATCAAAAAGTCTTGTAATTGGAATAATGTATTTGTGTATCCATATAGTTTTTCTAAAACAAACATAACCTGCTCTCCGTATTATCACATAATCTACAGTCTTACAGTTTAAAATGCTTTGAAGTGCACAACTATTTGAAAAATTCCTTTCTGAAGCAAAGCAACCGAGTTTGCGTTTGGCAGTCACCTGTACACATACTGCCCTGGCACTGAGCATACTTAACCTGGATAGCAAACAACTTTAAAGGTAACCTTTTAAAAAATAAAATTTAAAAATGCAAGTGAAAGCATCAAGGTGCTCAAAAAGACTACTTGCACCCTGACTCTCAAAACCCTCAGCCATTAAACCAACAGTGCATTTCAGACTTCAGTCTGTTCACGCTGCCAAAGAATTGCCCGAAGCAAGGAATAGCGTTTGGGCTTAATTCTTTTGTTCCTCTGAAATGCAGAAAGACAAGGGCCACAAGCCTTCCCTTAGAGTAAAAGCCATTCAGAAACTCATTCAGTATGAGATACTTCAAAGTCAATGCCATTTACTAAGTCCCCTACCCTTCACAAGTTTGATAACAGAGACAACACCAATTTGTCCACCTACTGACAAACTGAGATCTTGGCACAGACAGATGGAGAACCAGGCATTCGTCAACACGTGCATCTACAGTAGAAACATGTGCCCACATCCTGAAGGCTCACTTGACTGCATTTGGAAGGCTGGAGAATAAAAGAACCCTCCCCAACTCCTCAAAGCCACGGAAGCAAATATAAATACCTGATATACTTCTTAACTTGCTGACCATGCCCAGTTCCCCTTCCCAATACTAGACTTCTCCTGCAGGTTACAATAGAAGCATCTTCCATTCCTGTCATATACACACAAGCTTTTCTAAGATCTGGTCAGACACCAGGGAAATCCCAGCAGCAATGTAGATGTCTCCCAGCTGTATGTCTGGTATGAAAGCCTTAACTGTACTGCACAATCTACACAGAAACTAGGTCTGATTTTGTTAGTATTACTTTGCTTCTATATGAACTATAATTACTATTCCACATTACAGTTAGTGGGTTTAGTCTAAGCAAGATTTCTCTTGAAAGGGAAGCTTGCTAATGGAAATGAAATACCAGAATGAATCTAGTCTAAAAAACTACGCTCAAGTCTTTGGCTGGCTGTTCTTGGCTTTAAAAAGGAAGATACAGCCATACTCCTTAACAATGCATCCAGTGAGGTTTCTATCAGCACACACTGGAAAAGCATAAACATTTTTGCTTAGACTGTATGCCACTCATACTTATAAGCCACTCCCATAAAAGAAAAGCAGTTTGGATATATTTTTATTTTGGCTGTAAAATACTACGTCTTATCAATTATGCACTAAGTTATAACTGCTATGCATCTCTGTATGGTACCCTCAAATTCAAAATAAGGCATAAGGAGTATATGTAAGAATCCTATTCAGAAGGAAAAACACCCTG